AAGGCGCTTCTGTTTGTGGTCTGATTTAGCATCATTGGGCCCAGCTGCAGCCGGGGGAGCGGCAAGGGAAAAGGAAACGCGAGGAGATGGTGCCGAGGAGGAGGAGGAGGCTCTCTGGCTCAGCGGGTGCAGGTGTGGTAGGGAAACCTTAATGCAGGAAAATGGGCTGGATTCTCTGGAGTCAGCATAGAACTTGTGTCAGAGAAAAACAGATGGGTTTTACGCTTACCCCCATCCCCTCTGCAACGTAAGGCTTGCCTGCCACGTTTTGTTGGCTGGGAAGAGACTGATATTTTCTCTGTCTCCTCATCCAAAGCATTTGTTCTCCTCTCCCGTAGCAATTGCAGCTTGGTGTATTACCTACAGCTCAGAGGATAATCAGTGGCTCCTTCATGTAACCGTACTGCTGCTGCAAACGGCCGCACAAATCGCCTGGCAGGGGATGCTGTGCGCTGGCGTGGTCTGTGCCGGAGCCCAAGAGGGAGCTGTCAAGTGCTTTGCAATTGCCTCCATCTTCACCGGTCCATGGACTCCAACACCAGCCTCAGCCTGCTCAGGGATGTCGTGGCATTCAAGTCCGGTATGAATATTTGGCTCAGATGAAGCTGCTGATGCTTAAGGGGTTGTTAGTTTACGTAAAACCTTGCCTGGGTTTGAATTTGGAAGTGGGAATCTGGGGAGTTCTGCGCGTGCCACGGAGAGGGGCCGTAAGGGGCTGGTGCTGAGCATCAGACTCCTCGTTTCCATCGTCTCCAAAATTATAGTCTGCTCTTGCAAGCGCATGGCAGACTGCTCTTAAGGCTACTGCACAAAAAAATGGGTCAGAATACCAGTTACCACTCGAGTAAAGCACCCACTGACTTCCAGGGAGTTTAACCTGCAGAAATACTGCTGGATGAGGCCCAGGGAGAGTTACTTGCTTCTAAGGATGGAATTTGGCCCCACAACCCCTTCAGCAGTCTGAAGGGAACTGCATTTAAAACGGTGTTAAACTACAGATCAGAAACAGCTCCCATTAACTGGGTTTTAACGTAGCTCGGCCACTTAATGCCGGCCAGCCTGAACTTTATATATATTCAAAGCAAGCATATTGGTACATTTTTCACTTACGTGATACAGATCTATAGTATGTTTATAAATTATAGCTGTGTTTATATTTTATTATGTGACACATTGCAAACGCACACGTGCATAGGCAGTGCATAAAAGCGTTACGAAAGCACTCCCCTCGCCCACCTTTCTGTACTGCTCCGAACGGGGACATCGTGACCTGTGGGAGAGCCGGAGGTAACACCTGAGCCGCATTATCAGCCGCCCTGGTGTACTCTAATGGTTTTAGTACGGGCTGCCTAATATTTATGAACTAATGTTTTGAATTTCATGAAGTGTTTACTCATGCGACTGTATCTGCCGAGCAGCATTCAGAAAGTAGCAGGAGAGATGGTGCGGGGCTCGCAGAAATGAGCACCTGGGGCTCCCAGAAACGGGCACCGCAGGGGCTGCTGCAAGGACGTTTCTTCGCCCGCGACGCTGCCTTGGAGGGAGCGGTTAACTTCAGCCCTTGCCAGTGCTGCCTGCGGGGCTGGTTTGGGGTTTTGCATTTTTGAACGCCAAATTGACAACTACTTGAACGGTTGCTAGTTCTGTAGTCAAAGGTACCGCGGTTGACCTTAATTTATCTACAGATAAACGTAGAACGAACGTAGACTGTTTTCTCTATTGGGGAAAAAGGCAACCTGTTTTCGGGGACTGTCACTCCTTTAGTTGCGCCACAGAAATATGCCCTGGAAACACGTCATCGTTGCGATCCATGGCATACGGGTATGCTGGTGAGAAATAATAAAGTAAATAAACAAAAACATAAAAGAGTGTGATATGGCTGCAGTTGAGATGTGCTGCCCGTGACGGTCCGGTGGCTGTGCCCCGCGGAGGGTGGCATTGAGCACCCACCTCTTAGGCGGCGGGGAATCAAGAGAGGTCCAGCTCCTCCTGGCCAGCAGTCCCATGGGGTCAGATCTGAATGATACGAAGGTGATATGTTTCAGGTGTAGTATTAATGTAGCTAATTAAATGCAATCGTAAGCAGGACGGAGCGTGGGAGGCTCGCATGAGTCGTCTGAGCGCTGCGGTTGTAGAGTGATGGTGGGACAGCATCGTTGCGGCAGTCGTCGCTTGCAAACGTGTGTTTTGGAGGGGTGGGAAGAGCCCTCGCTGGGGCCGAGGCTGGGCAAAGACAGGGTAGGAGATTTGAGCAAACTGCTGGTACGAGCTCGGGCGGTGAAGGTTAGGAGGAGAAATGGATGCGCAGGGTGCTGTATGTCTCTGCTCGGTAACAGACCTGGTGAGCAAATGAATTTTGTTCTGCAAGGAAGTTTTTGACAAAATTGTTAAAAAAAAAAATTCAGGCTGATGCTTCTGAGGCAGGGGATTTCCTTTCGATCTGTGTCTTGTAAATGGAATTGCCATGTTTTTAACCGAGGAATTTTTGTCTAACTTTATATTCAAAATAACAGGCACAGAAGTGCTCTCACAAGTGTCGGAATAGCTCAAGGTGGAATTCAGGTAAATACTTGTCTAACCCCTCCATTATTTACCTGTTAATGCAAACTATGGTTTTGTTGGAACTTTTGCCACTTTCATTTTTGTAAATACATTTTTAATACAAAGTTGATGATGGATTCTATGAAGTCAGTAACAGATACTCTGAAATAATTACATTATTTTTGCATCCCTATTCATAAGGCTTGGTCATTCAGAATGACTAAGGCTTTGATTCAGCTATTTAAGCAATCATAAAGGTAAAGTTTAACTTTATCATTTTCAGTTAGGCACATTCTGCCTCTATAATATATCAATATCACGCATGCAGACAGCAACAATGAAAGTCCATAGTCTTTTCTCAATGATTTTGCCAGGGTGGTTGCAGCATCCCTGATTTTAAGCAATCCCTTTGTTTCTGTTGCGGGGAGATGTTTGGACTATTTTACAGGATACGGTATCACCATGCTGTCTAATCTATATTCGCGGTAATCCTTCCATAGAAACTAATAATTGCATTTTTTACCATAGAGTACCAATGGTCAGGGACTTGCAGCCGTTGTAAAAGGGAAGAAAAGCATTTCTTGATCTGCCTCATAACAGGATAATTATATTATATAATTAAACAGTTAAGAGAGTCAGACAAGCATTTATCTCTTTCACATACTGCTTCCTATGTTAGTCCAGGGTAGGGTAGCAGGGATGGTTAGTATTCAGATTGTTGTTTAGGTGACATGCTTAATATAGCTTCAGCTGCCTAGTTAATAGTGAAGCAGGTTCAAAATTGCTAAAAATTAGCACTCTCGCTTGCATTAACTGTTTATGCAGTTGCCCGTTGTCAGTAAAATTTCTTCGGTTTGAATCTCTTCTTCCAAGGTCCAAGAGCCAAATTAGGTTTTCTGGGTTAGGTGGAAGCTCATGCTGCTGTGGGAACTGCCGTTTTGTGGACAAATGGGAGCATTTTTGAAGCGTTATGCTTGATTTTTTTTTTTTTTCATCAAAACCAATAAGCATAAAAACAAACAAAAAAGTTGCCTATGTACTACCCCGGACAGGCTGTGAAAAAGCTGGCAAGAAGGGGTGAGTATTTATAACCGTTTGCAAAAACCCTTGGAAAAAACCAAAACAAAACAAAACAAAAAACACCGAACAGAAAAACTAACATTCCCAGCAATCAGTGCTGAGGAGAAGGAAAAAAATGGTCTGTCTCTAATCCCTCGTAACCCAAGGGGTCGTGAAGGAAGTCACATCAGCCCGTGTATCTTTTGAAGCGCTCTTGCCCCCAGAACTGTGCGGGGGAGCAGGGGCGTGCAGGAAGGGACACGCGGTGAGAAGGAAGGTCTAGCGGGCTCTCGCGCGTGGCCTCTGAAGCGTTTAGACATTACCAGCAGGTTCAGGGTAAGCTCCTCTTTTTAGGGGCTTGTAACTTACCTGCAGACAGTAGCTTCGGAGCAGTCCCGGCACGCCCGCTCTTGCCGTGACGGTGCTTTGCCAGTTCACCGCGCAGCCGGCAGGGCTGACGGTAACGCACGGTTAGGGGGGTTCCACCAGCGAGTAAATGCAACGGTGACGTCCGTAGGAGGAAAACATCCAAGACGTCTTTCACCCATCGCCTGTCATTAAACAGGGGGGCTCAGCCTGGAGCAGAGAAGGCTCCGGGGAGACCTTCCTGCAGCTGCCAGGGCTGAGGGGGGCTGAGGAGAGAGATGGGGAGAGACTTTTTAGCAGGGCCTGTAGCGATAGGACAAGGGGTGATGGTTTTAAACTGAAAGAGGGGAGATTCAGACTAGATCTAAGGATGAAGTTTGTGACAGTGAGGGTGGTGAACCCCTGGCCCAGGTTGCCCAGAGAGGTGGTGGATGCCCCATCCCTGGGAACATCCCAGGTCAGGTTGGACGGGGCTCTGAGCACCCTGCTCGAGTTGGGGATGTCCCTGCTCACTGCAGGGGGTTGGACCAGAGGACCTTTGGAGGTCCCTTCCAACCCAAACTGTCTATGATTCTATGAACGTGAGTTGCTCCGTATTGACCACAACACGTGTTCCTTGGCAAGAGGACAGTCCAGAGCCTGGTCTGGAGGGAGGGAGGACGCACGGCGTCTGCTGCAGGTGGGTGCAGAGGAAGGAGAAAACCTCTGATACTCCCGTTCATATGACGTGGTTTGGTTCAGTTCAGCCGCTGCTCTGTTGGCATCTGCCACGCCAGAATGACGCGGGCATCCTCAACTCACGGAGGTGTGAAGTGTTTTCATGTAACGAGAGAATTTGTGTGTGTTAATTTTTATGTGCGTATTTTACAGCACTTTATAATGATATTTAACAGCATAAAATGTTGGCACACATTGAAAATTGGTGAAAGTTCAGCCATCTAATTTGGGCAGGTTATGCTTACAGGCACTCACACTTGCAGACAGTTTAATAACAGTATTTGGCACTGTCTCTTAGAGCTGCTTAAACTAATTAATGCATTTGCTCCCTACAGGATGAAATAGAGTGTTCAGATACATTTATAAAATGATGTGCATGATTGCTAAATATTTCATTCTTTTGAACTATAACTTCGAGTGTTTTATGTGGGTGCAAAGACAGTATATATTCTCCCATGAAAAATGTACAGCAGCTCTGGAAAGAGGGTAATCTCTGCCCCTGCTTGTCGAAAGAGGATAATCTCTGTCCCTCTTTTAGCGTGTTAAGTAGTGCTCAGTAGTTTGGGCATCACTTCGCACAGTGGTGTTACTGCCGTGGGGGGCTCCGGGGCTGCCCCATCCTCCCGTGACCGCTCGCTGCACCAGCACGGGCTGCACCCGCTTCTCCCCGTGTTCCTACAGGTTTCAGAAGGTTACGGGTCCGTCACGTCGCAGCCCACCACCTCCCCTGCCAAAAACGAGGGCAAAAAAGGGGATTTTTTTGGACTCGGGCACCGGCAACATGCAGTCACTGGGTTTCATTGATTTAAAAGATGACATCAGGCAATAATTCCCCGGGACCCCTGAGTAGGCGAGGTTAACGCTAGTCTTGCTGACTTAAAAAGAAGGTTAAAAAAATAATAAGTAACAATTTGATTTGAAATAAACCTTTCTGAAGAAATCACAATAAACAAAATCTGTTTGCCTAAGGAAACCCTCCTAGCAATCAGCTAGTAACACAACTGCTTGTGCTAATGAACCCAAAGCTGTTAATGTGGTTTCTTCAGTTAAATTGATTCATGAATTTTGAAGAGAACATTATCTAATGAATTTTCTTTGAATAGAAAGCAATTAAAAGGACAAATCAGTCTGATTAACCCCAAAGTCACCCTACTGCCACAAATGGTGTACAGTTTGAAATTATATCATAAAAAACTAGAGCAGATTTGCTATCTCTTTGCCCTCTACTAATCCATGTAAATTAATGAACAACAAAGTTAATTTCTTTGATGACCCTTTTCTCGTATCACCTGGATTATGCTGATGTTTAATTTGCTTAATGTTATAATAAAGACTAAACAGATTTTTTCAATGAAGTGATTATCATTCCCTTCAGTTAAGAAGTGATTTTTATTATTTAACACACACATAATGGTGTATGTGTTTCCTTTAAGAACAAAATCACATTTCACTATGTTCCTGTGTAATATAATCAATGTCTTTTTTGACAACTTAAGAAAGAAATTGTTTTTAATCAGTTTGTTTGTTTGCCAAAGCAGGAGACCGAAGCTCTCAGCTGGGGGAAGGGGTCTTTTTTCCTTTTTTTTTTCTTTTTTCTTTTTTTTTTTATTCACCAGCTCACTCCTCTCAGTAAGTTACTCGCTAGTTAGATTCTCAAAGCTTTTTACAAGTGCCTTGGAAGAGCAATAGGTGTTCGACCCAACTAAAATCCAAACACGACTACCAGTTTTCCGTTTGTAAAATAATCCTGGGTTGGGAAGGTAAAACCCTGAGATGTAGAAGAAAGCTGGTCCTAATGCATTTGCTTATTCATTATTTCAGCAATTGGAACACTTAGAAGCAATTTGCTGGTGAATTAAAATTAAAATAGTGGCAGATACTTTTTTTTTTTTTTCCAGAGCCGTGTATCGTTAAGGATGTGCCGTACATTCAAGGTCACAGCTAGTCCTTACGTTTCGTAATGTCTGCAATGCCGAGCAGTAGCTTGGGGGTCTCGACTATAAAATGCAGTCAGCCAGGATAATACCGAGTCCGCTGGCTCTAGGGCTTCTTCTGCTGCGTGTCCCAGCTGAAGTTGGAAATTAGCTGGAGATGCGAGGGCTTTGTAAAATAGGTAGAGCCGGTTATTTCTTCCCTTTTTAATTTGACTCTATGCTAATTTATACTCTGCCAATTTAATGGAAAAACCACATTGTATGAGTTAACAGGATAATTGTACTTGAAGCAAATTAAAAATATAGGAAAATCAAAGCCTTAAATCCTTTTTTATAGTGATCGGTTACTTGAAGCGCTCTTTCTAATAATCATGTATTTAAATGTAGTAATATAGGATACAATAACAGGACAGTGCATCGGGGCTGTTTAAATTTAAATTAGAAAGCTGCTATTGAGACTCTGCTTTGCGCTGGGTTTTTTGAGTATTTCATCTTGTTTTTTTCAGCCACGCATATGAACAGCACTCCCTTCATCTTCTTTGCAGATTCGTTCACCAGCCAAGTGTTGTGGACCCTGTTGAGAGACGTGAAGTTCGGAGAGGCCGTTTCCTACAAGCAATTAGCAGACCTCACCGGCAACGGCAGAGCGGCGAGAGCGGTGGGAGGAGCGATGAGGAGCAATCCTGTAAGTTCACGTCAACTTTTAAATGAAGTTGATGGAAGATGGTGGATTTAGAGAGCTTTGTGGGCTAAATGTCATTAGATAAAATTTATCTGCTATGAAAACTGGTCTACCATGAGTAATAAGGTCAGTAAGTGTTTTTAATCAGCAATAATGCACAACCCAGTTTAATGTGATTTATTCCCTACCGTTTATAGCATTAGATTTGAAAAAGAAACATTGCGCTTCTTTTAGTTCATCAGCCTCTACACATTTTGTTGTTCACAAACTTCCTTATATATTCTTAGGTGAGGGAAGACTTTTACCCCCCCCAACACAGACCTCATTTTGACAGGGTATGAGTAGCTTTGGTTGTGTTAATAGCAGTCCCTCCTCTCTGGTGTGGATATGCTTCTGAAAATGTGGAAGAGGAGGGGTTTTAAATCATGTAGGTACACGTCTGAATCAAATCCCTAATTGTCAATACGTTTTTTTCCCCCATGCGCTCCAAACCAGCTGTGAATGGCATTTCTCCGTTAGGTATAGGCGAGTTGCCTGAATTGGAACCGACTGGAGGGAGTAGTGCTCTAGCTTAGGCCTGTGCATTTTGGAAAAACAGTATGTTATAATACGTGGCCTCTCTGTCTGTCTTCCCAGTAATTATCTTTCCCTTTTAGCTGTCCAGGTTTAGAATTCCAGGTATATTTATGCACCTGGATCACACTGATTGGTGTGGGACTGGTGCTGCAGCCTGTGGCCAACTGGTTCCTGCGCAAAGGAAGGGAAAAGCTGGTAAAGACGAGACCGCTGTATCTGTGTTTACACGTTCATTCCCCTGCTACTTGCCCTTAAAAAAATAAAAAACTTTGATTTCTGTTCTTACCATTGTGGCGTTTTTAGCCATTCTTCAACATATTTTCCCTCATTACCACCTGCCCTGAGCAACATGTGTCTTTCACTCTCCTTTTCTCCAGTCTTATACCTGCCGTAATCTTTGACCTCCTGTGTTGTTTTTACATTCAGTCCTCTCAGTATTTTCTTTAATAAGATACATACGAGACTACAGCATGTAGTTGCCAAGTGGGTTAGAAAATCTGTTTTCACAAGAGCTGGTGGATTTCCATTTAGAAATAATAAAGGTGAGGAGTTTTTGCAGTGCCACGTGTTATCTCTGTATTTTACCCCATTCATAAAATCAACCTGCATATTATGCACAGTCGACCTGTGTATTGTGGGTCATAGGTCTGAAGCACCATGTAAAGATTTATGTGGGAAATACGGGAAACATAGTGCATGGGTGCTCCCATCGAAGTACAAAAGACTACGTGCGTGTTTGCGTGTGGAATATGCATGAAATTGCAGATTAACTACGGGAGACGTGTAGTGATAAAAACGTGGTTTGGAATGGGCAGGGCTCTCATTACAGCACTGATTTTTATTTTTTTTGTCATCAGTTTTGTATTATGAAATATTGGGGTGGTATTATATTAATATAACTCTTCTTCCCTAAAGCTATACATTATTATCTATAATATGCTTAAATTTTTTCTGCTGGGGACAGAAAACCGCAGCCGTAGAACGGGATGGGAAATAACAATAATAAGGTAGGACCTCATTTAAAAAAAAATCGCAGTAGCTTTGCTGTATATTTTCAGAACTATTTTCCTCCTTCCTCAGAGGAGAAAAAGCAGGAATTTTCACACCACAACCTGCTGTTACCGCTACTTTGGATGCTGCTGCTCCACTGCAGCCTGAGGGCAAAGCTGGGTACATTTCTAGGCGATAGCAATTACATATCCTTTTGCACAACACTATATTGTTATTCTTTGAGAACTGCTTCCTGTAGGTTTGCATTGTATTACCTTATCTTAACATACACCCTATTATATTGGAAAGCATTCCATCATATTAAAATAGTTTGTATTGTCAAGTACAATACAGGGTATTGACGAAACGTAGCTTTATACCGCTCACATGAATTGCTTCATAGGAAAATCTGAGATACGCTTAAAATATCAGGGTGTACTTCTTTATTGAGCTTAGAAGCTTAGACCCATTAGACGTTACATGAGTTTCTATGGTAGTGTGTTACCTGCGTAGAATTGTAGGATACCCATGAACGTTGCACGTGTATAAACACACTTACAGTCTGTTTATCAGATGAGATATTGAGCTTTGAATCCAACTAAACAGTTCATTAAACTGAACACGTCATCTGGACTGCGGCATCGTTAACGTATCGGCGCAGAATGCAAAGAGCTGTGGTGTTAACAACTGCTACACCTGCAATGCGAGCTTTAGGATATAAATACTGGTTTTGAGGAGCAATTGCTTCCAAATTGTTACAGAAATGTGATGTTTTGTTAAGCAGCGTATTAGTGATTTCTGTTCGCAGGAGAGAAGCTGAAACTAGTGAATGCTTTTATTGTGAATGCGAAGCAAAAGTGAATATTTTCTCTTAACGATTACTGCAGAAGCTATGCAAAATAGAAAAATCATGATAAAAAATAAAAAAAGCACCTTGAGGTGCTTCCTGTGATTAAAGGACTAAATTATAAACATGGCGACTAAATCATAAACAGGATTTAGTGAGGATAGTAATAACAGTAAAATTGAGCATTTGAAATAAACCCGAGCCTGGCATTGCATCGTTCCTCAAACGTGTTGATAAAATTGCAAATCTCACCTTTTTCCACAAAATACCAGAACATTTCTCCCTTCTACAAATCGTGTGTTGGTCTTTAATTTTGGTAGTGCACATTCCACAGGTTTCCCTTTGTAGTTGGGTTGCTTCACATAATTCATACGATGACCTTCAACTTTATGAGAAGGTGGAATAGGTGCCAGCAGCAGCTGAAAGATGCGACATCTTTGCCTCAATTTATGCCAAGGACATGGTGGGGATAGCTCACCTTTTGCAAGAGAAACTTCAAATAGTTTACTGCAGTTCAGATTGATTGCAAGGTCTGTGGTCCTCAAAGGGAACCCATAAAGTTCAATTAAAAATCTCATTAGACTAGTATAGGAGGATCAAAAAGAAATCACAGAGACTCATGGGAGATGGCGAATGTTGGGCTGATTAGTCCAAGGCCATCCTAAATGACTGTTCTGTGCCTTAAATAAGACGTCTTCAGCGGTCTGTTCACGGCAGTCATAGCTGTATTTGGGTTTTGATATATCCTCTCCGATTGTGTCACTGTTGAGGCTAAAGCCCGGCTAAACGTACAGCTGGATGCCAGTATCGATCTGTCCTCAGTCGAGGATATTATTCAGCCCAAATGTTTTAAACATTGGAAGGAGTAATCATGCGTTTATGAGAAGATGGTGAAGTGTGGATTTGAAACGTTGTGGACACGTAAAACTACTTGTGCATTGCTTCCTTCGGCGGCTGGCGATAACGCGGGACCCGTGAGGGGCCACATTGCGGTATTTGTTTTCTGTCGGGGAAGAGGGGGAGAAAAAGCAACAGGACGTGAGCAAACTGAAGGATGATTTTTTGCTAAGTGTGATTCTTGTTGTATGTTATGACTCGATATTTCAGCTGTTTCCATGACGGCCCGGCTGATCGGGTTTTGACAGTCTGGTGGCTTCTGGAGGTCTCCAGCCCATCAGCAGCGTAATGGGATGGTCAGGTGTCCATTGCCTCGAATTGAAAACTCTTAACGAGCGGAGCGCGGCGGCGAAGCACCGCTCCGCTCCGTCCTCAGACAGAGTTTGCTAAATGCAGTTCAAAGGCGATCGATACCTTGTGCAGGGAGGTTTTTTTCCCCACCTTTTTTCTAAACAAACGCATTATCGAGGAGTTAGTTTATTCACAGATTGCCACAAGCGTTAATGACCGCCCGAGTCTTGTTCTGCCAGTCACCCAGATGGCTGTTGATAAAGATTTAGCATCATGTTCTGAGTGTCAGGGCTGTCAGTAGTGCTGAACCATTTGACCAGAAGAAAAAACGCACAGGGAGCTATTGATTACAGCTTCTCAGTGTCACTTGTTCACCAGGATTTAGGTATTGATGAGGCTGCGAGTGAAAACAAGCTCTTTCCCTTGTGGGCCTCTACCCAGAAGAACAAAAGCGAGGTTGGAGAAAATATTCAGCTGGTGCCCGAATCAGAGGGACTCCGTTATTGATCCGAGGGCCCCTTCATGTTATTTTTATTGGAGACAAATCTATGGGTTTGGAACTTTTATAGCGTCTGAGGTAGGGTCTGTGTAAGTGATGGATTCATGTATTAGATGAATTAGATTTCGCAGCATGAAGATTTCAGCGGAGTTATAATGTTATGAGCTGCTTGGTTATTGATAAAAATTACATTAAATGTAGCCAAGGCATTAAAGCTCCAGACTAAGGTAGTACTCCCTCTAAAATGTCCTTAGGGCCCTAATAAATTTTAGCAGGTTTAATTATTTTAGTAGTCTGAAAGTTGTCACCACAATTAAGCCAAACTGAAGCAATATTCAATATTTTTAAATTACAGCACTGATACAGCCTTTGTACTGCATTTTCTTTTACATCTGACGCTATGGAGGGTGACGTACGGGCGCTTGCGTGTGTTAGGACAAACTCAGTATGAAATTCTTTATTTCAGGCATGGAAAAGGCTACATTTATTTCATACCCTTCATCTCCTCCTCTTCTTGCTTGATGGTAAGCTGCTCAGCCACGCAGTCCCTGCATTTGTGAATGGGTCCTGCACCGACCCAGGGATCATCCAAGACCCTGCACGGCATGCCAGCTCATGCCACCTGAAACTGGAAGTCCTTTTTTTTTCTCCACTTGGGCACACCTCCCATCTTCTCACCCAATTTAGCAGGAGAATTCATCAACTTACCTCCCTGCCAAAATCCCCCAGTACAGGGACCCCCCTGGTTCGAGTGTCTTTGCACTGTTTGAGTGGCAGCAGGGAACTGGCTCAGAAGGGGGTTTTGGTCCATGTCCGTAGCAAGATTTATAGCTTTACCAACAAAATATCCTAGTTTACTATATATATTTTAAAGAATTGCAAATTAACCTTGGAGGTTTTTTACAGTGTATTGTTATGGCTTGTTTTGGCTTTGTCACTCAAGAAAATCTGCCTGCAGTAACTTTTTGCATGTGGACTGTAAAGACGGCGAAATCCCAAAACAAAAAAAACACTTGCAAAAAACCAATTTTTTTTTTAAGAAGTCACAAACCAGGGTGTGGGATGGCATGGTATAGAGTAAAGATTTTACTGGTACTCACTGGAGTTGTCATGGATGCATAATTCACTGTGGCATCGCCAACTCCAAATAAAGCAGCTATTCACAGAATCATTAAGGTTGGAAAAGACCTTTAAGATCATCAAGTCCAATCATCAACCCAACACCACCATGCCCACTAAACCATGTCCCGAAGTCTTGTCTACATGTTTCTGGAACACTTCCAGAGATGGTGACTCCACCACCTCCCTGGGCAGCCTGTTCCAATGCTTGACCACTCTCTGTACAGACATTTTTCCTAATATCCCACCTAAACCTCCCCTGGTGCAACTTGAGGCCATTTCCTCTTGTCCTATCGCTGATCACTTGGGAGAAGACACCAACACCCACCTCACCACAACCCCCTTTCAGGCAGCTGTAGAGAGCGATGAGGGCTCCCCTCAGCCTCCTCTTCTCCAGACTGAACACCCCCAGTTCCCTCAGCCGCTCCCCATCAGACTTGTGCTCCAGACCCCTCACCAGCTCCGTTGCCCTTCTCTGGACACGCTCCAGCACCTCAACGTTCTTCTTGCAGTGAGGGGCCCAACACTGAACACAGGATTCAAGGTGTGGCCTCACCGGGGCCGAGTACAGGGGCACGATCCCTGCCCTGCTCCTGCTGGCCACACCACTGCTGATACAGGCCAGGATGCTGTTGGCCTTCTTGGCCACCTGGGCACACTGCCGGCTCATGTCCAGCCGGCTGTCAACCAGCACCCCCAGGTCCTTTTCCGCTGGGCAGCTCTCCAGCCACTCCTCCCCAAGCCTGTAGCGTTGCATGGGGTTGTTGTGGCCGAAGTGCAGGACCCGGCACTTGGCCTTATTAAACCTCATACAGTTGACCTAAGCATTTTTTTTTTATTAAACCTTGATTAACAACAAGCACCTATGTGTATTCCCTTTTCATGTCATAGCCTGTGGGCTGAGATTGAGATTTTAAATTTCCACCATTGAAATTACTTAACTAAACCAAAAGAACCCTCCAAAACCAATTTATAAAGGTCTGGCCAGTTGCCATCCAGCCACCTTGGGATCTGTGTGTCCCAGGCTCAAAGGTGAGCATAGCTTGAACTGTACTGAAACAACTATTAAATGGTATTAGAATAAGTCAATGTAAAATACTTAGTTTGTCTATGTGTCTATATATAAATAATATTTTTTATTTTTACTTAAAATACCCAAATTTGTGAAAACTGCACTTTTTAGTGAGTTACTGTTTTCACAGCTCGATCATTGCCATCGAATTACTATGCAGTTACCAAAACACATACGGTGTGCTTAGAGATAATGTATTGCATTTTTTTATGGTGTGTACTTCAACTATGATAATCACCTGTAATAAAAAAAAATCCCACGCATTTATGTACTTCTCTACATTATCAGTCTATTATGTAACTTCTTGCATTGATTTTTCAGAATCCGTGACATTTGGCTATAAATGATACAAAGTAGAAGGCATGAGGAAAAAAGTCCTTAAATTGGTTAGGTGTGAATTAAATCTCTCCTGTTGTAGGTTTTAAAAATTCACAACCCATTTTGGATTGACTTGCTGTTAAATAATAAATAGCGCCTTGTTCTTCTATAGAATTTTTCAGCAGTGCACGCAGAGGTGCTATAGCGAGAGGAGGAGATCTGCCGAGGGAGCTGGGCTTGGGAAGCTCGCTCCTTGAAGTGCTCTTCGTAGTGGTCTGTTGTTTTCTAGAAATGCGGCCTCTTCTAATCCTGGGATGATAATCAATAGTCGTCCTGTACCGCCGTGCTATCCTTCTGTGTGTTTTGGGTCTGTGAGGTTTCGTCACCCATCCTGGGCACTGAGGTCTCGGCTGCTGGAGGGGGCTGGCACGGGGCAGGAAAATCTGCCTCTTGTTGAGAAGCTTTTATAAATGGAGTTTTGTATGTGGGCTTTTATGTATGGGCTTTACCCTTTGAAGACTTCACATCATTTTTATGTATTAAAATATCTCCTAATACTTACATTTTTTCCCTACGAACTGGGTTGGTCTTCAGAGCCCGTGATCAGCACCGTTTCTGCATCGCAGGCAGCCGCCCTGTCCTCCTCGGGCACGGCCGGGCTCCGCCAGCATGCTCTTTAACGTCGATACTTCAATCCGTGCCCCTGCCAGTCTAGCGGCAGACGATGACAGGTTTAGCAGTGGATTTATGGGTATCTTCCCCAGCCGCCGCTCCCCATTGCCTCACCCTTTGCTCTCTTCCTTATTTTTGTGTATTTTGCAGATCCCGATTATAATACCGTGCCACAGGGTGATTTGCAGCAGCGGGCAGACCGGCAACTACGGAGGAGGAAACCTTATGAAAGAGTGGCTTTTGTCGCACGAGAAGCTCCAGAAAGAGAAGTTAGCATATTGATGCGGCTCAGCCACGGCTGCTAACCAGCCAAGACATACAATCGCGGATACTTGGCTTATAACAAGCTCTCAGAGCACCCAGCAGAATTCAGAAAAATGGTAAATATTTGAGTGACATATAAATATAATGCAACATCCGAAGTGAAATGTGTGGTGGCACCACTATATTAAAAAAGCGGGATGCGTCCTGAGGGATGCAGCTCGCCTGCCCTTTCTTGTTTTTACATTTTACAGCAGAATGACTACAGCGGTCCAGGCCTGTTGTGCATGGATTTTGTTCCCATCCCCAGTCCTGTTTTGTTCTATTTTTAATGTCCATTAAAGCACGGATAAGGGAGTGGGAGGGACATGGCAAACATGAGGTGCAAGCCTCCCCCTAAGGAAGCATCTGGCTCGCCGAGGGGGCAGCCAGCGAGCCCAAGCCGGCGCCTGTGCTCGCTCCTGCCCAGCCTGGCACGCTTGTCCCTGCCAGCGCCCTGCCCAGGCCTCCCCTCGCCTCTTCGGTGCCTGCAACGGGCTCTTACCTAAGCAGGAGTGAAGGGAGCACAGTGAGATGCATTCAAAAGCAAGCGGCTGTTGAATTGCTTCTTCCCAGCTCTTCTTTTCGGACTGCGAGAGATGGGAATAAAATTCTTGCCTTTGTGGACGGTGCAGAAAGCAGTTGAAGAGAAGCTGCTGACAAATTGTGCGAGAAGTATCTTTTAAATAAGCGGTTTGATTAGCGCAACTTGGGCACGGTATTGAAAAGCTCCTCATAGTTGCTTCTTGATCAGCAGCGCATTTCTTTTTATAATTCGATTTTTTTTCCTTTAGACTTTTGCACTTCTCTGTTATGCGGAGCTTTATTTCCCGTAGCCTCTCTGTAGAAAGGGTTCAAGTATTCAAGAGGTATTAAAGCTAAATTTTGAGGTGGATTAAGCAGGGTTCTCTGCAAGTACAAGTCACCAGAAGCTGAAATTTTCAGTATGGGAATCGTAAATTCTAACATGGAAATACTGGGGTTTTTTATGTGTTTTATCATATTTTCATAGACGTCTCTTTAGAAAGGCCATTGCTAACCAAGAAATTATTGTGTTACGATACGTTAGTTAATACAGGATTATTGATACCTCAGAATTACTTCAATAAAAAAACTGCTTTGCATGTACAAGTGTCTTTGTGTATGTTTATAAATAAAACACAGTATGTGATATATGGAGAAAATAAACTATACCCAACTGTACAATATAAAGCTGTATTTTTATCAAGGGTTTCTGGTGGCAATATAAACCACAAAAGCAAAGCTCAAGTGGTTTGTACGTGTCACCAGAACCCTGAGATAAAAATATAGCCTTATAATATGTACAGTTTGGGTGTATTTTTTTATTTTTTTTTTATAATACATGCTACCAACAAAAGAAGGCGGTAGCAAACGCAAACTTTAACCTTTCTCGCGCTGACATCCCTTGCAGTTTTTCTTCAGGTAGTTGCTCCTTCAGGGCCGTACCTTTATTTTTGCAGGTGGGGTGAACGCGAGCGCTGGTTTTCCAGGCAGTAGCACCTTTTCGGGGCAGACAGCCGACTTCTTAGCAAAATCGTCTTTTGGCTCGGGGGTTCTGCGGGGCCGGGCAGAGCCGGGCAGGGCCGGGCAGGG